AAGTATAAATAAATAAAACTCTGATAGTGTATTAGTTTGTACACAAACAAATCATGTCACACTCGAGCAGGACAGAATCATTAAAATAAAAGGACTGTACTTAAAGTGTACTTATGTAAACAGTGATTTACATAAAAACACAATGAAAACATTGTAATGAGATTCTCTGTGATTTTTTATACCATTATAAATCTTTAAGGCACGATAAAAGAAAAGAAGTCGTTCCACATTTCCTGTAACAGGCATTATCATAATTTAACAAATGCATAAACATTCTTAGGCCCTGTGATTGACTTGTCCAGGGTGTACCCCGCCCCTCGCACTGTGACTGCTGGTTATGGGCACCAGTGACCCACGCAACCCTGAAAAGGAAGAAGCGTGTACAGAAAATGGATGGATGGATGGATAAATATTCTTAGTTAAACAACTAATGAATCACAAACAGAGGAGATTGTTCTGTCCATTATCGGATTAAAAGAACTGAGGGGTTCTCTTCCACGGTTAGAATGACCTGTCATGGCCTAAATAGAGTTCAGTTTGTGACAGAGTTCCTGTCCTCTCGTCAGGCCTGTCCGAGGCCTGCTTCGAGGCAGTAAATCTTGTTTCTTCACTCGAGGTGACCCCTACAAAACAGCATCATGTCTGGGTGGATTGGATCCATGGTGTATTACACACACACAGTGTGAGGTCAGATTATGAAGACTACAGGTCCAGGATGGAAACGCAGACCCGTCTCTCCTCAGCAACATTCAGATCCTCTTGATGGATTTGTTGTCTCCTCAGAGAGAAAACACAGCAGCAAGTTGTGCGTCTGCTCTGGGGTCTCCTCTTAGCGGGGCGTCCAGAAGGAGGCGCCCAGGAGGCACCGACCACCTGAGGAGCCAAGAACATTTTAGGATTTTAGTTTTACAGACGCACAGTTCAAGTGTGTGTTTAAAAGCTCTGAAAGCATCGCAGAGGCGACGAGTGAAGGAACATCCTCACACAGCTGACAGCAGCTTCTCAGTGAAGTCAGCCAGAGATTTGCTTTGTCATCACTTTATCACTGCCATCGTTCCTGAATGAGAGCAGCACAACATCAGGACTTCAAAATAAATACATGGCTATGACTGCTACAACAGAGGAGAGAGAAATGCATTTATCCACTGAAAAGACATTTAAAATATTGCAAGAGCCTTCAGTTGATCAGACATTACTAGAAAAAATTACAGCCATCCTTCTAATATATTGTTTCATGATTTGAAATTAATAAAATACTATGATTTGGTTGATTATAATACTTTGCTGTTAATGTACAGAGCTCATAAAGGTGTCTTACCTTCCAACATTCAGGTAAATTTAGTTAAAAGACAGAGCTGTTATTATCTTAAGGGAATTGAAATGTCTGTGAAACCCTGGGTTCATACGAGCCTGAAGGAGCGATCCACTTTAATCCAGGGAATAAGATTATGGAACAGCTTAGAAGATGAGGTTAAAAATGACAGATCCTTGTATATGTTGAAGAGAATGATAAAACATAATATTCTGAAGAAATATGGAGAATTATAAGTGAATTCATGCAAATTGTTGTTTGAGTTGGTGTCTTCATTTTTTAAATTAATTTTTAAGTGTTTTAAGTTGTTTTGAATATTTATTGTATTTTACTTTTCTTTTGAACATATTTTGAGTATAAAAAGGGGCAGATTTTATAAGATTTATTCATCTTCTGCTGCCTTTCATTTCATTTGATTTTATTTTGATTGCATGTTTTTTGAACTTTGTTAATTTTGTATCACAAATGAAAAGAATAAATACTACTACTACTACTACTACTACTACTACTACTACTACTACTACTACTACTACTGCTGCTGCTGCTGCTACATTCCTGGGAACAAAAATAGGTTCAGTTGGAGGTGTTTCTTCTCTGTGCTGAGTTTATCAGCAGCTGCAGGTTGTTATATAACCGCTGATAGGAGACAGGATCTTAGACTTTGTCATCAGTTAATAAAGTCCTGTGAGTGGACCTGCCTGATGAGCTCAGCTCGGTCCAAACGGGCCATTTCTGATCTTTGAACAGACTGCTTGGTGTGTAAAAGTACAGATGTTTAGTTTGCTGAAGGTAAATAATTTATAAAGCTGTTTTTGTGTGTGGTTAGCATGTATAAAGTACCATAAAGTGATACTTGAGTACAAGTGTTTTACCAAAAGATTACTTTGGTAAAAGTTAAAGTCTCCTTTAGGAATATTACTTGAGTAAAAGTCTTAAAGTATTTGATATTTTTTGTACTTAATTATTAAAAGTAAAAGTATTGATTTAAAATGAGCAGTTAAATTTTCTGTAAGGATATTTATTAGGAGGTGACCTCCCCAAAAACTGCAGAAATGACTGCTGTGTTAAAATAATTTATTTATGTTAAATTTAAAGAGCCTGTGATGTGTTTATCCTTCAAATACAGAAAGTCAAAGAAAACAACATCATATTTAAGAAACTTTGCATAATACACATGATTTTACTCATTTTGTCACATAAATAGCGTATTTTCTTTTGAACTTGGCTGAGCTAAAGTGAAACAGGAAGTGACATCAAAGGGGAATGCTTTAAAAAAGACCACTCTGGTCTTTATTGAAACTATATTTAAACTTTAACAGTTCATCTCTCTGATTATGACTCAAAATAGTGTAAAAGAAACACCAGATTCTTTCCACCATCTGTGTTAGCTGTTGTAGCAACGCTCTGTTTACACGACGACATTCCCCTTTGATGTCACTTCCTGTTTCTTCACATGCAAACATCTCAACAACTGTTCATCTCAGCAGTGTGAAATTAGTTTTGCAATATGTTATTAATGTTATCTTTCCAAAAATGTGTTCATATTTATTACTAACTTTTGACATCACAGGCACTTTAAGATGCACTAGTCCAGCTGTTTCAGTTTATATACATATATCAAGGCTGCACAAAGCTTTTTCCCAAAATGAAAATTTATCTGAGGGCTGCGGCCAAATGTAAGAATATAATTCATGAAATACAAATACTTCTTAAGTACAGTCCTTTTATTTGAATGATTCTGTCCTGCTGGAGTGTGACATGATTTGTTTGTGTACAAACTAATACACTATCAGAGTTTTATATATTTATACTTCTCATTCAACCACAGTTAAATTCACTCTATCTAGGAGGCTCAGTTTGTATGGATAGTTTTTATTTTTTACTATAACAAGCTGCATTGAAAACAAGCAAAAATGAAATAAAAGGAACAACTTTCTACTTCTTGTCTTTTTTAAACATGTGAGAAGTAGTAAAAAGTATGCTGAAAAGAAAAATAATTACTCAAGTAAAGTACAGATACCCAAAAAATCGTCTTCAGTACAGTGACAAAGTGTACTTAGTTACTTGGTTAGGAGACATGTGACTGTAGTTAGGATCGTGGGACAACAGTCCCTCCAAAACCTCCCCCTCAGCTCCTGAATATTCACAGAGGAAATTTGACCCTGAAATGTTTTATTGTCATCAAAATATATATA